AAGTGGAAGAGAGGAGTTCACTTCTTGATTATGCAGGGCAAGAAGAGTTTGGATGAGGAACGGTGAAGATGAGACAAATGGTTTATAACTAGCCATAGAGTACTGTATGTATCACTGAGGATATGTTTAATTCCAGTGTTGGGTTTCTGGATTATGGCTGAAAAGCCTGGGGAAATTTATTCCTAAATACCACAAGACCCACATGGCTAGATGAAGGCAGTCCCAGACAGGGTTAATGCTGTGGGAAAGGCCATTTCAGTTGGTTAGTGCCTTGGCTAGTACTGACAACAGTAACATTTGGGGCAGAGTATGCTCAAAGCGTGTTAGTGACAGAGATGAAATTGAGATTCCCAATCCCAAGGGAATTGGGACAAGTCTGTCTGAGACACAGCAGAAGGAGGCAGAGGAGGACGGTGGTAGGGCATGGAGAAAAATGTGTTGAGAGTTGCATTTGCTAATCTGGCCATTGCATGGAAAGTAGGAGAGAGGACAGGGACCCCCTGCCCATTTGAAACTTCTGGGGCTCCAGCACTGGCAGACTTGGAAGATGAGCATGTAAGCTGCAGTGCTGGCTTCATGTATGCCTGTACCTGATGATGCTCTGAGAACTAAGATTTATTGATGGGTGCAGCAGAACCCTTAGAATTTCTGCTGACAAAACCCACTGGCATATGGATGCTTTTGCAGGAGGAAGATGCCACTGCCCTCTGGTTGAGGCAGCACTTAAGGCAAGGATTACAGGTTGAGGAGCTTGGCAACAGGGTTTGACTAATTATGCTTATTGTTTCCTCTGAAGACATTTGTGTGGCAGGTTAAGGAAAAGGTTGATGATAAAATAGAGCAGCTGGCTCCAGCTACAAAGGAAGGACTGGGAGGAGGATTGGTACGAGCAGGGGCAAGCGCTGGATGCTGCTGGTAAAAGTAGAGCTATCAAGGGAGGCTGACAGAAGTGGGAGAGAAAAAATGAGTGGAAGAAGGAGCATTGAGGGTGAAAAATGGGAGGGAACAGACAAAAGCAAGATGCAATTTCCTAAGACTTCTATTTTCATCCCTGTCCTCCTTCCTGTCGTTAGGGTGCACCCTGATTCATAGCCTGTCCTCTCAAAAACCAAGCACAGTGCAAACTACATCTTTCTGTGTTGTTTACAGTAAATGCTTTGATGGCTCTTTAGAGGACCTGGTCATTTTCAGCATCCTGAGAACACTGCACCCTCTTTTTCTCTAGTGCTTTTTAGCAGAAGACAAAACACAGAGGACCCACTTTTTTTTTTTTTTTAAAGGGTGGTTTTGTTCTGAGCAGTTTAAGTAAATACTATTGTGTTGTGAATATCAGTCCTCTTCATTTACCAGAACAAGAATAGTGTGTTAAAGAAGTACCTAAGTGTTAAAAAAAATTATCCAGACAGTATAGTTGATAAAGAAAATGTGTAAAGGGCTATTAAATATATATATGTGTATCTATATATATATTTGAATATAGCTGAAGGAACGAAACACCAAGTGTAGCCAGCTGTTAATAAAAACACAGTTGCTTCTGGAATGAATAAAAGAAGCAGCAAGGTACTGACTGTGAAGCTGACATGATACTGCAACTTGAAAACTAATTCAGGAAAGAAGAGAATTTAAATAACATTTGGATGCAACAGCAGGAAACAGAAGGAACAGGTGTTTAACAAGATTTTTTTTTTCAACTGTTTAACCTCTTTGTTAATGCCAAAACCCAAACTCTGTCAGACTCTGGCTTTATGTAGTTTCTGTAGTTGTTCTTTTGGCTGTTTCACGCCTCAGAGCATTTCTTCTGCTGTGCATTTGTCTCTAGGGAGCTGGGCCTGTATCTCTAAGTACTTTTGATCTCCATTGTACGTGTCACTTTCTCTTCAGGAGTAAGTAGAATTACATGGCTGTGAATAAGGCCCGGCATTTGTTACTTTGCTCTGCAGGTTCACTGGAGCATCCGCAGGAGAGATTTTTAGATCTCCTTGCAAAACTGGATGAAATTTTTTGCCTAAGACCTAGAAACCAGGGAAGGCTTTTCTCTGTGATCATCGTAAAATATAAAAACATAAATAAGTGTTTTGTGGTGTTTCAGGTACTGGTGTAGTCGTCAGGGATATCTCTTAGTAAAATAGGTCTCACTGCTGACAGCCTGCTGAGTGACTTGGAGTGCATAATACTGAAGTGGCTTTACATCTTGGAAGAAGCTTCTGGTTTAAGCTACCTTTTAGCAAAGAGTTCTTTCTCTCTAGCCTTTTATGCCAACTTCACACTGTTGCTTGGGTTCAGGAAGTCAAAAAACAACAACAACAAAAACAGACATGCACAAAAACAAAACAACCTCCTTCCTCCTCCCGTCCCCCCAACTCTATAGTGACATCTGTTTTAAAGAGGTGCCTTTTAATGATATGAGCGTTTACTTCTATCGTGACTTTAAGAAGTTCCTTCTTGAATTTCTGTGAAGGGTTCAGGGTCTGATGAGAACAAATTATATACTGTTATATCTGTAAAAGCATTGGACAACGGAGTACATACTTGATGTCAGATTTTGCCTGTGTGAACCTCCCACTCCCTTAAGCGCACCCCATTAGACCTCTGCCTGGCAGGGACTTTTGCATATGTATCTCTAACTCTTTAGACCTGTTCTCACAGAAAATTTTCCCATTAGCTTGCTGCTTTTTGTTCTTATTATTCCTTCCACTTCTCTTCCTCATTGCTTTCTCACCCAGTGTGCAGTCCAACCTGCTGACTGATGTTCCTCTTCCAACAAATTAGTGTTTTTGATGCTAGAATCTTTTTCATTCCCTTTCCTTGTTTTTATTTTTTTAACAATTAGATTTTTTTTTTTTTTTCCCTGCACATGCTGTTCAACTCTCCTTGATAATCTCACTGTTCTCTGAATAAACAGATTCATCTTCTCACTCCATTCCAATATACGTGTATACAAGAACTGATTATCTCCTGCACCTTGCTCTCCCTGACCAGCCTTTCTATCCAGGGCAGGGTTAGATTTGCTGTCAGGTCACTGAGTGCATCAGCACATTCTGCAACCTCTCTTTTTAAACAGTTTTGCTGCCTGGGCCAAGAGCTATGACATTTGTTATCAGCTTATGATATATTTTTAATTGGGTATTACTTGCTAGATGTTAGCTCCAAGGCTGCTGGTGACTTGAGTTTCCCTAATGGGAATCCCATTTTTTTTTTTTTTTTTTTCTGGTGATAATGCACTAAGGACACACTTGTTTGTGCAGGTTCCAAGCAGATCTCCAGGATGTGGCTGTTTAAAGGGGAAAGCACAACTCAAAACTCAGATCTGAAGGGTCCATCACTGGATATGTTTAGCTCACAACTTCCCTCCTTGTCTTTAGCTTGAAGACATTTTGTGGTCTGAAGTTCAAAGTGATCAGCAACATATGATAAAAGATGATCTCTTAGGTAACATGATCCAAATAATTGCAGCACTTCTCTTAAAACCAGTGTTTTGGACTTCATTGTTAAAGTCTTTAGGTTGAGTGTATGAGTCCATGTAAGCATTGGGCTTTATAGCAGCACAGTCTGGAGACATGAAAGTGGGCAGTGAAGCTGTGTCACCACCAACAAAATATTAAAAAGCAGTATTTTAAAATTTCTTCCTCACAGATCTCATCCTGCTCTCAGACAGCATGAAAACATGTACTGCTCAGTATTTAATGACATCTGCTGTCCTTGGGGCATGGCTGCTTTTGTGTGTAAAGTACACACAAAGTCCAGCTCCACTGAAAAAGAACACAAATACGTGTGGTGCGTTGAATGGGCCCTTTTGTTACTTCTGTCCCATTTGCCAGTTTACAAGAGACTATGTGTGGATCCTGATACCTTCCTATGTGGCAGGATGGTTTTGAGGAGTTCAGACATGACAGTGGTTCAACCCATTAAGCAGATGCTTTGTAGAACTGATGTCACACCATTTCTCACTCTAGAGAGTTGCTTTCTGGTTTTTTTTTTTTGTTTGTTTTTTTTTTTTGTTTGTTTTTTTTTGGTATATGGTTGCCTCTAAAAATACTGTTCTATGAGGGAAAATAATTTCTGTTGTTACAGGAGCTAGTATTTATGACAAAACAATGTAAAGCAGCCCTATGTAAATGATGAAATTAGCCATTTTCTTCTGTTGTGATTTGTTTGTATCTGTCTGTATATTGTTTTCCTTGATAACTTGAATTGTAACTCCCACACCTGCAAGTTACACCATATGTTTTAAACCATTTTGGAAGTAATGAATGGCTAGAAGATCACACTTTTAATGAAAAGCCATTATTAGATGAGTGTTATAGAAGTTTTTTTTGTCTGTGTTTTTTTTTTTTTCTTTCTTTTTTTTTTTTTCTCTCTACAGTTTCCTTTCAGTCAGTATACTAAATATTCTCTTATGCAGAATTCACTGCATATTTATATAGAAGGGTTATTTCACTTGTGGTCTGGTCCTATTTGGAGAAGGAATCCACCTGCATACATTCCCCAATGTTTCCCTTTCTCTTTCAGTGTTGACTGCAAGTACACAAAATTAAAAGCAGACATTTTAGATCTCAGTAAACATAACCAGAGGATGAATTCATCTTAAAAGCTGGCTAGGACACTAATGTCACAATTCACATATTATTTTTGTCAGCAGCATGTTCAAACTACCAAGGCTCTTCAAAATCGCAGCTGTGATATCTACAATAAATGAACTATAGGAAAGCTGCAGTTAGGTCATACTGCCTTGTCACTGCAGATGAAACAAATGATAATAGCATTACTGCATACTGTTTCTGCAGTGTGTTTTGTTCACTGAAAACAATTGTAATGATTAATGATGTCATAATAATGTATGCTGAATGCCTTTTTTCCTGCTCTGGGTGATTGGCTTAGGTAAGGAGTGTGATGGAGTAGACCAAGCTCAGCTGGAGCAGTTTGGTCCCTGTTTTGTGGAGGGCAAGTACAGAGACAGGTGATGGAATTGGCTGGGAGGGGAGGATGGGAAATTGGCTAGGACCAGGTGGTTTTGGCGGGCTAGATGGGGAAGGGGAAGTTCTCTGAATGAACCAGCTGGAAAAGCTAAGGCCAGTATGCTGCTTTTTGGTGGGGAGGAAGAAATGCTCCAGGATATCTATGTACAATTATATATGTCTTTATGAGTGGAAAGAGGCAAGTCTCCAGAGTTACACATTGTCGGTCATTGCAGCTGGTCAAGTGGAGGTGTTAAAATTAGACTGCTGGCTGAAAGACTATTAGGAAGCCAATTTAGGTATTTTACTGTGTTTTAGCAATTTAATTCTTAGAGTAACTCTTATGGGGCTTGCTGTCAATTATTTCAAACAGCTTGAAAAATGCTTCTGCCTAGGGTTAATACAATCAACCTGAGAAGAATTTAAACTGTTGCTTCAGAGCACTTGCATAAACATACGTTCCACATCTACAATTACATGTTTTACAGAATGAAATTTATTTTAAGTGCTATTAATGGTTTGGAAGGCTTGTACTAGCCTCCTGCATGCACAGGCTATTTGACCACAAGTGTCTGATTCAGAAGGTCTGCAAAACATCTACTTTGCGTGTTTGCAAGCAGTCCAGGAATAAATTGTTTGATAATGCTGTTACAAACCTAGGCCATATGTGATAAGTAACAGAAGCCAAGAACAAATAAGAGTATTGTGTGTGCTAAGTGATTGCAATAGTAGGTAACTTGATGAGCAAAATGCACAGAAGTCATAAAATTATGCCTCATGCTAAAGGTAAGAGACTGTTTTTATGTTGGGTCACCTTTTGCTTTTTTATTTGGGGTGAAGTGGTTTTTCTTAGCTTGAAGGATGTGTAGATTCCTGCCCTAGCCCTGGGAGCTGTGTTGGTAGGTAAGCTGGCTCATGCTACTTGCAGTCTGTCTCTAGCTGCAGCCAGTTGATGGGACCAACTTTGGGACAAAAAAGCTGAATTCTGAAATGCACTGCAGACTTAATCTCAGGATTCAGAGGAAGGAGAAGGGAAAACTCAGAAAAGATGTGTCATAGGTAAAAAGAACTCCTCTCTTACTCTTGGCCTGTAACCAAAGAAATACCAGTGCAGAGGCTTAATGCAGTATTAGTGTCATGCACGTGAATTTTGTTGGCTGTAATATTGCACCATTCAAGGATCTGTAGCATAATTTACTGTCTGCAGAAATTCTTAGGTGTATAAATCCCTATATAATGTGAATGAACTCTGTTTTAAAACAGTGTGAGTTCCTTGTCCTAACTGTCTTGTCTGGAAGGCTGATCCAGATTTTCATGTAGACAAGCATAAAGTTAAGTTTTTTTCTTCCAACTTCCAATTTTGGTTGATTCATACAATACTGTAAAATGTACAAAAGACAAAACAAGTACAAATTTGAATATATAAAAATAGTACAGAATAAGATGAATTGTGCTAATGAATTGTGATAATTAATCAATAGTGTTCATTTTAAGTAGGCGCTCATGAAAAACCAAGACACTTGTTAAAAAAATCACTCCAAGTTGCCATTACTAGTGTATGATCTCTCAATTTTACTGCACATTCATAGGTAAGATATTTCTGATGTCCTGTCTATAACTAGCATATTAATTTTTAGATAATCCGTTTATTTGGGAGGAAGAAGGAGCTAGATTTACAAATGACACAGTCAAGACACAGCTGTCATTTAACTGCAGAAACTTGAAATTGTTCCCAAATAGTGCTTAAAATAGATTCATAATCAAACAAAAGCAACTATTCTGTTCCTGTGAGACTGACAAATTATAAAAGTTTACAATCCATACCTCCCTCAAGTCTACATCTGATAAGCTTGCAGAGACTAAACACAAAAGTTTACCCAAGGAATATCGAACTACAAGGGATTCTGATGGGGTGTGGGGGGAGCAGGGAAGGTGATGGTCTATCCTTTGTGAGATGCACAAAATGAAAGCAGCCCAATTCTACACCAGAAGGTATATAATTTAAAACTACTTCAGAAGAGGATTGTTATATCTGATGTAAGTCTCTGTAGAAGAGCCTTGCCAAAGAAAGAAGAGGTTCAAACAGAATTGAAACATGTAGAGATGTGAGCTCTAATCGTAATTGTTTGCTCCTTCAGAACCTTTATAGTGAAAGACACTAAAGGTATTCTGAACTCTCACCCATGTGATTCCTGAAGACAATGGTTGCAAAGACTTTTGATTAAAACTAGCACTAACTAAACAACATCATTGCTGCCCCTGGGACGTACATGTAGATGCATTGATGGTAGGAGGAGGTGCACAGGGAATGGTACTAGGCAAACAGAGCCTTGTAAGGAAAAGTTCATCTGAAAATCAAATAATTTTACCTAAGCATTATGGATTTAAATTCACAGAAAGCTAGAGAATAACTTGTTGCATACAAAATAGATATTTGAAGTACTGGAATGAAATGTTTGCACTGAAAAGAGGCAGTGCAGGAATTTCTTGCAGGATTTTTTGAAGGAGTAATGTAAATAAAGACTATTTGCTCATTAGCATGGAAGCTAAGCAATGAAGAGATGGGATCCAGAAAATATCAAATGTCAGAAACCTCTTATATAAAAGTCATCAAAACAGCAATATTATCTTCTTCCAGTATGTCATATGGGCATCTTGGTTGATGAACAGCTAATTAACCTCATAGGCTAGAAGCTTAAAAAACAAACAAACAAAAACACAAAGCAGCCTGGATGAGCAATCTTTACACCTGGAAGAGAATACATTGTGCAATTAAAAGTTTGGTCAGATCCATGCACAGCCAGGCATCCTTTATGCTTGATGTAGTGTTCCGTTCTCATATTATCCTTCCACTAAATGAATTAAATTAAATTAAGTTTTAATTCTGATTGTTTTTCAAAGCTTTTTTTTTTTTTTTATGATAACTCTTTTGCGAATCACCTGCAATGATCTCTATACCGTATTCAGTGTCCAAGGCAAACTCAATCTGCAACCAAGAATATTCTTTACTGTAAAGGGTCCTTTTATTTTATTAACTTATTGCAGCCTTTCAAGTTGGATGGAAATATAGGAGGACCACGATTTTAAAACTATTTTAATCCACCCATTTAAAAGTAGTAGTTTCTACTTCTAATGATATTAAATTCACCAATATGATGTGAGAAATTCCAGGGAAGAGATTAATTTTGTTAAATGTAGATGTATGCAATGCTAATCTATATTAAATATATATATTTTTATCTTCCATTCATATTCAGTAGCCCTTCTAGGGTGCAGTGTTTTGTATCTGAAAGTTAAACTTTTAAGAGGTCAGAGGAATTACACTGTCTTTCTTTTAATTGGCTATAATGAGAATGTAGGATGCCCTGCTCAGACGTAAATATCTAAGTTACCTATGAAAATCTTGCTGAAAACAATGGCACTAATTGATACAACTTCATAAAAACAAATATTTGGCGGGCTCTAAAGTGGATCAGCAGTATCACTTGGAAAATCTCACCTACTAAAACTAGTTCTGTGTGTGCGCATCCTCAGTAAGAATGTGGGAATGGGACAATTCCTTTATAATGTACTTAAATCCAGAACCCACCGAGCAGTGATGTTGCTAGGTGACTCGTTATTGGCATGGACATTGACTGAAGCCTACTGCAGGAGTTGAATATCTGAGATTCTCTTTTGGGGTTGGGTAGACCTTCACAGCTCAGACCAAAGAGAACAGACCTGTGCACAGCAGCAACTCTTTATGATAATCAAGAGCCATTAGAATTGAAGTCTTTTATGGGCTCTTTATTTGTTCCACGAGTCTTCAGTTGCTGAGTATCACTGTAGTTACCAGAGTCCTGGAAGACATGTCCCTTGATGACGTGTCTTTCTTGAAGGTATATGTTAAACTAAAATACAAAATCTACATTACTTAGTTAGGCTATGTCTCAAGTGGGGACTTTATGACGAGGATGTAGTCTGTTCCTGAGCTATACACAGTACTCAGCTCTGTGCCAAATATGAAACTGCTATGGTTTGACTAGTATTTTATCATCTTGGAAATTTAATTTTCAAATGAGAACAAGAGTACTTAAACCCAGATCTCTGAGGGCTTTTCATCTTTCTGTTCCCTATTCCCCCTTTTCCCTGTTCATCTATTGAAGAGTGAAAAAGGGACCAAAATAGTAGAAGTTATTAGGATATTAATCCAGCATGTTAGCATTACTACCATTTAGCAGTTGAAACAATTATTATTGCAAAAGACTATGTAGTCTGGTTTGATGTGCCAAGGTCTTAAAATTAGAGCTGTTGTACTTGGAAAATAAAGCAAAAGAATTATTCATCTTAAATTCCTCCTGCTGGTATACTGCAGTTTCTGACTCCACGTCCTTCCAGGGTGGTAGAGACTACTTCTCTAAGCACAATGTTAACACAAAACCTAAAATCCCATGACCACTTTTGGTTGCAAGTTTGAAATGTTAGCCCCGCTTTTGTTTCTCTTTGTATTGAAGACTAGGGCAAACACTCTAAATTACAATTAGAGGAGACATAGTTGAAACAGTGCCACACTCCACCTCTGATAAACCAGAAGTGAAAAAACATAAAGATATTGCTTTCCCCTTGCAAGAATCTTGTAATTAGTGTTTCCAGCTCATAACAGTAGTAGTAGTGCACAGGCTAAATTATTTAACAACTAATACGTGTAAAATAGTGAGTATGTCCAAACTGCCTGATACAGATAAAAAGTTACACCAAGTTCTTGCTTGGTTTTCTCAGACTTGTATCTACAAGGCCTGTTGTTGTGAAATTTGTGTAGGCGTTGTGGTGTATTTAAAACTCCAAGGGAAATTTGAAGATCCTGTCCTATAAGTGTGTTGAAGTTCATGATTTAATGCAATGCCATGAGAGAAATGTAAGCTACTGGTGCTCATCAAAGTGAAAAGTTTAGGTCTTTATTTACTCATTTAGATACACTATTAATGTGTTATGTGGATCTAACAACAAAAAAAGTGCTTTATCTTTTTCTTTGAATATGTGAGGCTCAGACAGCACTGAGAACTATATGGCAGTGGATTTAAAAACAAGATTTTTCACAGTGAAGTAAGTGGCAGCCAAACAAGCTGCCTGCTCCCTGCTGCTTCTCCTTGGTGCCTCTTCTGCAAACTAATGCTTTCACCCTCTTTCTGGGATGAGCTGGCTATAAGGATCAGTGAAAACCCTGCCACAGGGGACAGAAGAGTTCAGTATTTTCATGTGGTTAGACATGAGGCATGCAGCTTGCTCTGGGTATGCCCCTGTGCTTAGGGCAGTCCTAGCACCACCTCAGCAGCTACTGTGTCCTTATGCCACCCCTCAGCATTTTAGTTGTTAAAATAATTTTATACGTAGAGAATGTTGCAGAAGGGTGGAAGAAAACTGCAAAGACCTGCAGTGGATTTGGAGAGTCTAAAGACATTTGAAAATAATTGAATCAAACCATGACCACCTCAAGGTCCCTTCCTTAAAGGTTTTGTTATTGACCATTTATCTGAGAACTAGACACAGAGATGGCACTAATCCCCCATGAATGTATACTGCAGTATAAACATTCCATTCAAATAATATATTACAATAAATAACATACAAGTTTCCCACAAAGTTTAGTCTCTCTGTACTAAAAAATGATGTATTCATTTATTAATATTTAATGTTTCTGCTGTGTAAGCTCCAGTGGTAATTTTCTGTAGGCAATTTTTCTTTTATTTACAGGCATGTATAATTGTACATGACAGCAGGGACATAAAAATATTTGCAGATAAATATTA